CACACACACACACCTGCATTCTTACCGGGAGCGAGTGAGGTTCCCAAGCCGGAGGATATGGGGCGGAGTCTGCCCCTCCTCCGTTGTGAGGGTGGAGTATGGGAGGAAGTTAGGGCCCAGCAGAGGCCTGGGGCTGCTGACATACCAAGAGTTGCGGAAGGTGAGAGCGAAGCGTGGGTGCAGGGGTCTGCGGCTTCAGCCCTGCTTCGGCAAACCTAACATTGTCCCTTGGCTTGCCAGGTGGCCACTCAGTTCAAGATGAGTCTCCTGCAGCTGGTGGAGATCCTGAAGTCTAAGGAGCCCGCCTATGTCCGCTGTATCAAGCCTAATGACTCCAAACAACCTGGTAGCCCCTCCCGCCCATGGGGCTTGGGGGCAGGGCCAGCTGTCAGTCAAGCCTGCTGACCGCCCGTTACCCTCCCCCAGGCCGCTTTGATGAGGTGCTGATCCGGCACCAGGTGAAGTACCTGGGGCTGATGGAGAACCTGCGCGTGCGCAGAGCCGGGTTTGCCTATCGCCGCAAATACGAAGCTTTCCTGCAAAGGTAGGATGGCCATCACCCCGTCAGGGAAGGCGCATGAGAGAGGACAATGATTCTCTGCCGCATTTTAATTTTTTAAAATTTTATTATTATTATTGAGTATTGAGACTAGACCTCTTTGTGGTGTTCATGCTAGTCTAGAAACTCCTGGGGAATGATCCGACTACCTCAGCCTCTCAAGTAGCTGGGACTACAGGCAAGCACCACCAAACCCAGCTCTTAGCCTCAGAAATTGAAGTCTCCAAGGCTCTGAGCCGCTGTGCAAACTATATTAGGGGCCCCTTGGTGCCAAGCTTGGTAGAAAGAACCACAGCTCTGCCTTGCTAGAGCATCCACTTGCCTGTCCGCAGAGCAGGAGGTACCATGCCTAGAAGGAGGCCAGGGGATTCCAAAGAGCTTAGAGAAGACAGGGCAGTTTTGTGGGTCTGGGGAGTTAATTAGGGTATGAAGTCCATCTTTTTTTTTTTGGACACAGTTTTACTCTGTTGCCAGGCTAGAGTGCTGTGGAATCAGCCTAGTTCACAATGACCTTAAATTCCTAAATTCAAGTAATTCTCCTGCCTCAGCCTCCATATAGCTGGGACTACAGGTGCCTACTACAATGCCCAGCTAAGTTTTCTATTTTTTTTTTCTTTTGTTTTCTCACTTTGTGAGACTTAGTAGAGTCCTGTGGTATCACAGCTCACAACAACCTCAAACTCTTGGGCTGAAGTGATTCTCTTGCCTCAGCCTCCCAAGTAGCTGGGACTATAGGTGCCCACCACCCGCCCAGCTAATTTTTCTGTTTTTAATAGACAGGGGTCTCGCTCTGGCTCAGGCACGTCCAAAGCCCCTGAGCTAAAGGAACCATCCCGCCTCTATCTCCCAGAGTGCTAGGATTACAGGCATGAGCTACCACACCCAGCCAGACCTCATCTTTAAAATGGGGTCAGTGACAGAGCAACCTTCCGGGCTTTCTATAAACCATGTTTAACAGTAAAACCTCTATTTTTCGTAGAGATAGGGTCTTGCTCTTGCTCAGGCTGGTCTCAAACTCCTTAGCTCAAGGAATCCTCCTGCCTTGGCCTCCCAGGGTGCTAGGATTACAGGCTTGAGCTACCACACCCAGCCAGACCTCATCTTTAAAATGGGGTCAGTGACAGAGCAACCTTCCGGGCTTTCTGTAAACCATGTGCAAGTCAATGGGTACACCCAGCAGGTGCCCAGGGAAAGCTGATCAGGCCCCCAGAGAAGGGTGCTGACTGAAGTGGGAACTGGGTCCATTCCTGCTCCTCCTGTCCCCAGATACAAGTCACTGTGCCCAGAGACATGGCCCACATGGGCAGGTCGGCCCCAGGATGGGGTGGCTGTGCTGGTCAGACACCTAGGCTACAAACCAGAAGAGTACAAGATGGGCAGGTAAGTGTTGCCCATGCCTAGTGTCTGGGGTGGGGGGCAGGCAATCCAGGGCTGATCGCTGCTGCCCTCTCAGGACCAAGATCTTCATCCGCTTCCCTAAGACCCTGTTTGCCACAGAGGATGCCCTGGAGGTCCGGCGGCAGAGTTTAGGTGAGAGACATATACCCTTGCTGTCCCGTTGGGGGTCCACTGTGGGAAGAAGGGAAGAAGTCACTGCTTTGGAACCCTTCTCCCAGAAGTCTGCCAGCCTACATTCAGCTCCCTTTCTCCTTACCAGCTCTAGCCCGAGCCCCACACTCGTCATCCTGCCTGCCTGCTAGATACAAACTCCAGACATATTTCCATATTCATTTGCTCTCTTCCATTTACTGTCCTTCAACTCATTCATCCTCTCACTGGATAGCTTACTCAGACACTCCCTCACTCATGCCAGTCACTGAGCTCGGGGAATGCCAGGCTTCCAGCTGGCTTCCTGAGCTCTGGCCAATGACTTTCTTCCCAACCACAGCAACAAAGATCCAAGCTGCCTGGAGGGGCTTTCACTGGCGGCAGAAATTCCTCCGGGTGAAGCAATCAGGTTCGGGGGCTCATGGGACTTCAGGAGGGGAGCGGGGTCTGGAGCTCAAGTAGGCCACTGTGGTGAGGAGATAGAGCTCAGACATCTGTGATCTCCACAGCCATCTGTATTCAGTCGTGGTGGCGGGGAACACTGGGCCGGAGGAGGGCAGCCAAGAGGAAGTGGGCGGCCCAGACCATCCGGCGGTGAGTGTTCAGGCACCCTGAGGGGACTGCAGAACAGGGTCTGTGGGGGGCGTTCGTGGCCAGGCTTTTCATCCAACCCTGTCCCATCCCCAGGCTCATCCGTGGCTTCATCCTGCGCCATGCCCCTCATTGCCCTGAAAACGCTTTCTTCCTGGACCACGTGCGCACCTCTTTTTTGCTTAACTTGCGGCAGCAGCTGCCCCGAAATATCCTGGACTCCTCCTGGCCCACACCCCCTCCTGCCTTGCGTGAGGTGTGTGGACCTTCCCCTCCTCCATTAGGGACCATCAAAGCCCTCAACAAAGGGGTCTGATTGTCAGGTGGCAAGAAGCACAGTGCAGGGATGTGTCAGGGGATGGTGGAACTGGGCTGCCATGAAGAATGAGTGCTCTTGAGAGCAACAAATTAGGAATGGAAGTGTAGTCCTCTGGAAGGTGTTATCCAGAGGCCCAGGGGTGGGTGTATATTACGATATCTTCAGAGGGAAGGGGCTAGGCTGCCTAGGTGCTTTAATCTCCCTCGTCCCCCCAGGCCTCGGAGCTCCTACGTGAGTTGTGCTTGAAGAACATGGTGTGGAAGTACTGCCGGAGCATTAGCCCCGAGTGGAAGCAGCAGGTAGGGAGAGCCAGAGGCAGGTGGGTACTGGGCAGTGGGGTTGGGGAGCACAGGCATGGCATGAAGGGCGCCACCAGGGAGTATCTTACTCGTTCACTGTGCAACTTCATCTCAATGCCAGCCTGTGGTGAGCCTTGTGTAGCAAGTGGAAGCTAGAATCGATTTTGGGTGGCAAATAGGTTTATCTTGGTAAAGACTGCCTAGAATCCAGTGTTAAAAGGCTATACCGCCGGATGTGGTGGTATGTGCCTGTAGTCCCGGCTACTTGGGAGGCTGAGACAGGAGAGGAGGATTGCTTGAGTCCAGGAGTTCTGGGCTGTAGTGTGCTATGCTGATTGGGTGTCTGCACTAAGTTTGGTATCAATATGGTGAGCTCCTGACCTGCTGATCAGTAGTGGGATTGTGCTAGTGAATAGTCACTGCATTCTAGCCTGGGCAACATAGTAAGACCCTGACTTAAAAAAAAAAAAAGGCTATATTCTCACCCTGATTGATTAGTAATGTCCTCCATGGTTACAGAGACTGACACTGGTGGTTGATGTGCCTTCTGTTTGCCAACTCAAGTTGGATGGTGCTAAAGGACCCCCCCCCC